GGGGGAGCCGGTGCCGGGCCCGGCCGTGTAGTGGGCCTCCGAGAGCAACGTGGGAGCGGCTGTCCCGCTGGAAACCCACTGGGGTTGTAGCAACGGGTTTGTCTCCTTCCTCCGCTCCCGCTCTCGGGTGGCGCCGGTTCCGACAGCGGGCGGTTCGCAGATGCGCTGGCTGCCAGCCTGCCTTCCCGCCTCGCCTCTCTCCACCCCCCAAGCGTCCTTCGCATCGCCCGGCGCTGATCCCTGCTTACACTGCGGCCGTACCGGAGTCATGGTCTGAAAGTCGCCTCCCTGCTGCGAAGGCTGCAGAGACAGCAGGGCAGCCGTCTCGCCCGCTCTCCCAGCGGGCTGCAGCACACGTGGTGCGCTCGGTCCTTCCCGCAGCCGGCAGCTCTCCCTTCCTGCTACTGCCACATCATCAGCTCTCCTAACATCCTTTGGGAAGACCGTAAATTAGAGGTCTGAGGGAATGTGTTGGCGCAGTTGCTTGTGAAGAGTGCCTGTAGCTTACCTGTGGGCTGTTCAGATACGAAGGGTTTAATTTCGGAAATCTTTTTTGTAGACTGACAAGTTTAAACCTTCAGCAAATAAAATCGCTGTTGTTAAGTCTTAGATTAAGTGTTGCACGTGGTTGAGCAAAAGTCCTTGAGCGTGCCTTCTAAAGACACTTGAGGGAGGGGTTGCATTCGCATTTTCTAGCTATGACTGACAATCCAGAGGTCCTTGGATATACTTGTCCTGCTTAAGGATTCTTATTTCCCCTAAAAGTTTTAAAATATTTATTTTAAATGTGCACTCATATCAATTAGATCTTTTTCAGGCTTGTGTAAATCAATCATCCATTCATTTCTCCTCTTTTTTTTTTTAATATGTTAGGTTTAAAAAAAAATAATCTGTAGCTTTGTGTATATGTTTTAAAAATTCTTAGCCTAGCCTGCACGTGCTCTAAACAGCAAACAGACAGAGCTTTGTCCTGTGGCCAGTATTTGTATTAATCGTATCTGTCCAGTGTTTGAATGTATGAGACTGGGCTCCGTAAAGGCAAAGAGGCAATGAAGTATCTGACTGCACTGGTCTTGGAGCCTTGCTCTAGAGCCATGCTGTAGATCTGGTTTCTTTTCTGCCTAGTGTGGTTGTTCTGTTGAACATACGGTTGTAGTAGCGGGTGATACTGAGGAGGTCATATGAAAAGGGACTTTTTTATATTTTGACACGTGAGTGAAAATAAGTGCAAAACCAGTAACTTTCTAACTACCTGTGAAAGCGTAGTGTTCTGATACCAGCCAATGAAGAAGACATGCTAATCATTTATTAACCTTATTAGTCTTAGAAGAAACAATACTTGCACTACGTTAATTTCCTGGCAATAGTAATGTCTTTTTATTTTCACATTTGTAATGAGAAAATAAAATTAAAATGTTTTAATACGGTGACATGTTAAAAAATAAACCATAGCTTTTAAGGCAAGTTGTTTGCCCTCTGTAAATTTAAGCATTGCTGTGTGAATGCTGAACTTCTTGTTATCCAGCTGTAAATTTTTTGGTTTTGGACTTACTGGCACATAAATGAGTAGTTCAGGAAGTTAAAATTCTTCAAACAGTAGTTTGAAAATAGTACTACAATGTCAGTTTTCTGTTGATTAACTAGACATTGAAAAGGCTTTCTTGCGTTTTGTTTTGGTAGGTTCAGGTTTATTAGTTGCAGCTCAAGATGCTACAGAAGATGAGGAAGCTGTGGAAGATACTGTAGTTGAAGATGAAGATGATGAAGCTGAAGTTGAAGAAGATGAGCCAACAGACTTGGTAATTGTACTCCAAATGAGAGAACCAGATTCTCATAGGAGCCCCTGGTAGTTCTTTTCCAGATTAAGCTGTGTCTCTGTAAACTGACAAGGACACTGGGGTATAGGACAGCTTCATTCTGGCTTCTTGGTATCTGTTTTCAAGGGGCAACAGAATCTTAGTTCTTAGTTAAGCTCAGTATTAATTCCAAACACGTTGATTTGCAGCCTGTTTTCACTTAATACATTCCTATTCTCTGGCATTTGATGCAGGTTATGCCTGTTGTATATACCAGTGGCCATATTGCTGTTCGGGGTCGCTTGCGTCATCGTGACAAAGTGAAGTACCTTACATAGTTATATGATCTGCTTGTAGCAGTAGGGTACTAGGCTTGCTAGGCAGTGTACTGAAATTGGTACCAAAATTTCTCAAATTTCTGGTGTAAAAGAAGAAAGTTTGGGCCATTATTGGGAGAAGACATGTGTAATAAAAATGGAGACCTGGTAAACTGTTCTTTAAGTCTATTAGATTTTTGCTGGTGTTGGTAAGTTTTTGAGCTTATGGTCGACCAGCTTTGCTAAGTGGTAGAAGGTATGCTAGGTATTCAGTACTGGCAGAATACTATTAAATAGCCCTTTGGATGTAATTTGCTTTTTAATAAAGTCTGTTACTCTGGTACAAAACAGTATACTTTTTAGGCAGTTTTTTATTTGTCACTGAAATGTAAGATACAGTTTTGTATAGCATCTTGAAATCAAGATGCCAGGTGCTCAGCTCTGGTTTGTGGTTTCCCTAGATGAGGGTACGTGTAGGACTCATCCAGGAGGCTATCCACTGCTTCAAGTGGTTGTTTAAGCAGTGAAATCAAATTATCTAACTTGCAAGCAATTAGTTCAGACAGTTCAAAGTGGGGTCAGCCTTGTTTTTATCTGGTGGGGGAGGTGGTGATCCCATGATCCCCATGTGGAAAATAAGCCCTTAATGCTTGCATTTGCCAAATTAAAAAGTGAATCATCACAAAGGTGAGCTTAAACAATTGAACCCATGGAGATACTTAGTTCCAACAGTCTAACCATTTCCAGGTAAGTGTAACACTTAACTAATTAAATCTGAATAGTAGGCCTCTATAAACACTCTCTCTGTAGTGAAAGTAACTGTAATTTGCCTTAATGCTTGTGTGTAATTTTGGAAATGCTTCTTTTCTAAATAGAAATAGTTTATATGTGAACACTTAACATTTAGATTCTATTATTTTCATTGCACCCCCAAACAGAGACCTTACTGTTGCTTTCTGATAAGAAGCCTTTCAATATAGTTAAATGCAGTTGAGATTAGTCAAATATAACAAGTAGAAGGATAAATGCTGAAAATTATGTTAATCAGATCTAGAGGGAGAACAGACTATGTGCTAATCCTGCAACAGC